TGGTTGTGAAGAAACGCGAAGCTCCATCTCATGCAGGCGATCTCGCCTCAGCGCTGGCCGCACTCCCTGCGCCACATCACCAAGGGCAGCAGCGGCAACGATATCAGAAGAAGAAGGAACGAAGAACATGAAGAATAATAAGAAGAAGAAAACGAATTATCCCAGTGCGACCCTACCTAGGAGTTGGAGCCCCTAGGAAAGCAGCATTAGTAGTAACAGTAAAGCTAAGCTAAAGCTAAGCTAAAGCTAAGCTGAAGCTAAGCTAAAGCTAAGCTGAAGCTAAGCTAAAGCTAAGCTTAAGTTAAGGTTAAGCTAAGACTAAGCTTAAGCTGAGCTAAAGTTAAGCTGAAGCTAAGCTGACGCTAAGCTAAAGCTAAGCTAAATCTAAGCTAAAGCTAAAACTAAAGCTAACACTAAAGCTAAGCTAAAGCTAAGCTAAGCTAAGCTAAAGCTAAGCTAAAGCTAAGCTAAAGCTAAACTCAAGCTAAGCTGAAGCTAAGCTAAAGCTAAGCTAAAGCTAAGCTAAAGCTAAGCTAAATCTAAGCTAAAGCTAAGCTAAAGCTAAGCTAAATCTAAGCTAAAGCTAAAACTAAAGCTAAGCTAAAGCTAAGCTAAAGCTAAGCTACAGCTAAGCTAAAGCTAAGCTCAAGCTAAGCTAACGCTAAGATAAAGCTCAGCTAAAGCTAAGCTAAACGGTAAGCGAAAAGCTAAGCGAAACGCTAAGCTAAAGCTAAGCTACAGCTAAGCTAAAGCTAAGCTAAAGCTAAAGCTAAAGCTAAAGCTAAAGCTAAAACTCCCAGGGGACTGGGGGGAACCGCGGGGCGGGGACTGGGGGAACCGCCCGGGGCGTGTAGCACTGCCCGGCCCCTTTAAGCTAGAGAGTAAGAACCCTTGTAGGCAGAGCCTAGGTAGGGAAGTAACGGCGTACGCAGAAACGTTCGGAGGTCCGCGTGAATTCTTTGGACCGGCGCTGGACACTCCTCTCCGAGGACAGCTCCGCGCCGCAAGAAATCCGCGCAGACCTTTGAAGTGCAGTGTTCGTGCAGTTCTTCAATATCCGCTCCCCTGCGCAGCAGGATCATCACAGGCAACGGCGGCAACAATATCCACCACTCTGGGGCGAGCCACTGCAGTGCTCGTCTCCTCCGTCACCGCACCCGGTGTCCCAGCAGGGGCTCGCCGGTGCACCTTTGACTGCACAAAGGGTCGCATCCCTGCGACCCGGCATCACGAACAACATGCAACACCGTAGAACCACTCGACCGAAACCCTCGACCCCATCTTTCTGCTCCGATGCTCGAGCCGGGTCGATCCGTGAGGGCCCCGCGGCCCGAAAAACGTGGCAACATCGCCCGGCGCGACAGAGATTGCGACGCCCGGATCTCGGGGATCGAGGCTTGCCCGCACAGGCGGGTCCAAAGCAGCACCGGCAGCGGCAGGGAGCGATAAGGCCCCACCTGTGACGCGCGAGGACCTACTGGTACTATATGTTTGAAGGGGCCCAGGGACACACGAGTGAATGCACACAAATGACCGGATGCCCCATATTTTTCCCATACCTTCTGGGTTTCTGTCTTTCCCCCCCACACTGCCCATCTGTTCCCAGATCTTCTGGGGAATCGACGATTAATTGTGTCTGTGTTCTTCCCCCTCCTGAATGTTCTCCTTGGAGGCGTGCGTCCGACCCGAACATATCGTCTATCCATCTTGCAGTATAGCGCCCCCCGAGCGGTACGGCCAGCAAGCGCCCGTCACGGAGCTCATACTAGAAGACTTCTCGGAGCGCGCGTGCGTCGCCCCAAGGGGGGGCCGACGCACACATATAATAGTATTACGTCGGGCGTGTCCCCCTACAGGTGGATTTCGGACGAAAGATAAACATAAGGTGCAAAAAATCATAAACAAATGTTCAAGCATACTCCAATCAATCGTCCCCTCACCATTGTTTTTGACTTTTTGTGAGTACTCCTCCTGTCGAGGGACAGGCACGACTTGCTATCACTATGTTGGGGTGACGCCGATGGCTTGGGTGTCCCAAAACCGTGTGGTGACAGATCCGGCGGTGACCTCGAAATCCACAAAGACGCCACCGCACGGTCCGTCACCACACGGTTTTGGCACCCTGGAGGCTCCAGTCGCCCGAGACGTCCTCGGAGCACGACCCGAGTCCCAAAACCGTGCGGGAGGAGGAGGAGGAGGAGGAGGAGGAGGCCGGAGGAGAGGGGGGTGGAGGGGGCAGGAGGAGGATGAGGAGGAGATGAGGCGGTGTATACATAAATAAAGGGGGTGTGAGGTCGTTAGTGAGGAAGGCGGAGGGAGGAGGAGGAGGTGACGTCGCGCTGATGATGTCTGCGTGAGCGAAGCTGAAGGAGGAATCCCCACCGACTCACCACACGGTGTGGTCACCGCCCCGTTTGGGAGCCCCCGAACGGCAGCCCGCCGGCGAGGCCCGGGAGAAAAAGGCCGCCCGCCGAGCGCGCGGGCACCGCCGCCCGCCCCC